GCAACAATGACCTAATGTCAGAAGTAAAGGAACGAAGTGCGTCAGGCAACAGAGCTTTCTATAACACAATACAAACTTTAAAGCAAACTTATATCAAGAAAACAAAGAAAACAGTTTACAAAACAATCGTCAGACCTGTAGTCATTTATGCCACAACCGAATCCTGGACGCTAACAAAAAAAAAAAAACACACAGAAAATCTGCTAAATACTAGGGAAAGAAAAATTATCAGAAAAATGTATGGTGTCACGAATGATGAAACAGGATGGAGGATTCGCACCAACCAAGAAATATACCAGCTATATGAAGACCCCCTCCATAGTGACAGAAAAAAAAAGAACAAATGACGTTGGTGGCAGGTCACCTCGAAAGAATGTCAGAGAACAGAGGAGCAAAGATTGTTCACCGGCAAAAAACAAAAGTCTGGCGCCCCAAAGATAGACCACGAGTACGGTGACTTGATGACGTGGATGCAGATCTACAACAGCTAAAAGTCGGGCATGGTGACGTGAAGCACAGGATAGATCAGACTGGAGAGATGTGCTAAAGCAGGCCAGGGACCTCCGTGGGCAGTAGCGACACTGGGATGGATGGATAAATGAAATAAGCAAGTGGAAGTTACGAAGAGTTATAAAAATTTGACTTTTCATTGATAATAAGGTTTCTACTAATTCTTTACCAAATTCATTTCTACAAGGAAATAGTTTTGAAAAGCAATAATTCTTCATATATATATATATAAATATATACTCATTTAAAGATTCCATAAAAATTATCTGTGCTCAATCCGGGGTGTTGACAGTATTAGAGATATTTATTAATGGCAGAATAACTAAAATAAGCTAGCTGTGTTGTTTTTAAAGATCTATGATAATTGTGTGCACGTTTCAGAATTGCAGAAGTAAATTTTCTGAGTTCTTCCGTTTAAATAATTTATTTGGAATAAAGGATGCATCAGAGGCAGATAGAAAGGAATATATATATATAATAAATGGAAGTTAGATTTAAAAAAACGAAGATATTTAAAAAATCGACTTCAAGAGAGTAGAAGATCTTATGATAACGTTATTTGTGGTAATAGTACAGTTTTTCTTAATTAAAACCTGAGAGTATTTGTTTATTTTTAAAGAGTCCTGTATCTAATAAATATATATATAGGGCTGTATGGGGTATTTAGGAGGGGTAGCACCTTCTTTTTGAGGGTAGCCTGGCTCACTCTTGGTCCCCACTCGGTACCCAACTCTCAACTGTGGCTCCCAGAAGCTGTAGCATGCGCAGCGGCTACACTCCGGAAGCGGCTTTGACTGGCCGGCTAAACCAGGTAGAGGGTATCTGACTTGTCCATGGCACTCAGTACACTAAAGTTATGTCAAACCTAGCATGTGAAGTCTGGACTTGGCGGCCTGTGCGTAACGTAACAAAACTTGACTAATCGGACAGAAAAGCAAGTACCAGCACAGTGCTGTGGAGCACTCAAGAGCAGGACAAGACACAGAAAGTCTCTGGTCATCCACTGCACCCAAACTTGTCCCCGGACGTCTTGACCGAATCTTACTTCCGGAAAAGGACGGGATTTAGGGCGAGAGAGTGAGGTCGACGTGTTGCGCGAATCCTCCTCACTTTAATCCAAATTCCAGCGCAAGTCACTTGTCATCCCCCCCCCCAAACATATATATATATATATATATATATATATATATATATATATACAGTGCTACCATTTATTGTGCTTGAAAATATTTCAATTTATTTCTAACCAGCTCATGTTTTTTTTTTTAGTATATACAAACCTAGAATATAGGCCTCTTATCGCATAGTTTCTAAGATACACTTATGTCAGTGCTATTAATATACGAAATAAATCAGATTGAAGTTGTTTTAGAAGGAATTATTAAAAGAGAATATTGTCTTGGATCTATTGATCTAAAGTCTGTTACCTAAATAAATATCTTCTTGAATCTATTGATCTAAAGTCTGTTACCTAAATAAATATTGTCTTGGATCTATTGATCTAAAGTCTGTTACCTAAATAAATATCTTCTGGGATCTATTGATCTAAAGTCTGTTACCTAAATAAATATTTACGTTTACAAATAGGGACCCAACTTTATTACCTCACTTACTACTATTTGTTGATGTGCGCTCGTTGTGTCCATGTGTTTGTGTTTGTTAACCAAAATTACATTTTGTTTTTATCGATATGTGTAGTATTTAGCGACCCCTTGTAAAGGGAAAAGCCGCTCTTAGTTTTGTACCCGTCCGTTCGTCTGTCTATGTAGGTCTAGAAAAGATATTGAAAATACGACATCATGTATTCTTGATCTTGCTATTTTTTTTTTCTAATCTGAAAGCGAATCTTTTAATTTTAAAAATAAAGAAACAGATGACCATAACATCATCTGCCCTATAGATCTCAAGGTCTGAAAGGGGAACTTTTTAAACCAGTGAAGCAAAATCTACGTCTGTTCTGTATATCCGTCCAAAGGGAATCGACGGAATTTTCTTTTGCGGTGAAGAGGAAGGAATTGTGACCCAAATCATGTTTGAGTCCAGTCTTTAACAGTGCGCAAATTGTGCACTAGCTTGGATGGCGGTGCGCATGGCAGGGTTATAACTATATATAATAATAACAATATGTTACTATCTGTCAGGTTCTTGTGTTTTATTGTATCTATCATAGTTTTAATTCAATGTGTGTTATTGTTATTCTTTTTCTGAACTTATAATATTTTGGCCCAAGTTCAGCCTGAAAAGCACACCATACACATACAGTTGTATTAAATTAATAAACTAAGTGTATAATGTTAAATAACAATAAACATTTATTAAAGTGATATATTTACAAATGAACTGATGTATGATGAATGATAATAATAGTATCAATATCCATAAATATATGTATAATATCTTTAATCCAATATGATATAGTTATTTTCTTTGTGATATATCAATGATCAATTATTTGAACAATATCATTACCTCAACATATTCATCATAAGTTGTTCAAACATTCTTTCAACGCAACAACTGGTAATCCACATAGATCTAGTCTGTAAATCCAATACTGTTCACTGACGATAATTCCAAAAAGTTCACAGTTCACACTGCAACATCAGGTCTGACCAAGGCAACCCGCAATCTGGCATCTTGAACCTCAGACTCATGAAAAAGTCAACTTGAACACCAGACGATTAATTGACATTAGTGAGATGAAGGCCTCAGTCCTGTAGACTGTAGACCTAAAGTTGTATTCTCAATATAGAAAATTGAGAATGGATAAACGAGTCTTGACACCAAGACTCGACACTAAGTCTTACACATAGACTTGACACCAAGCTAAGATCACTACTTAGACTTGACGCCAAAAACTTGAAACAAAGTCTTGAACTGAGAATACGACCAAAACCTAGACTTGTCGCTAAAACCCTATAGAAGATAAAAGAAAAGGATTCTTCTAATCATCTAGATCTAGTCTAAATATAGACTTACAAATACGAACGAATTCAAATAGAAAAAACTATACCATAAAAAATAAAACTCACCCTAAACAGGGGTCAAGATAATCCAACAAGAAAATGTCCAAGGCAAACGTTAAGGCTATCCAGTAACAATAACCAAGGAGAAATTCAAGAGCTCTCAAAACATGGCTTGCCCTTATACAGCACAAGATGGAGAGACTGAACTTGACGATAAATGACGCAAATCACACACACACACTAACTTTACGTCACTAGAAGTTGTGACAAGCAACAAAAGTTCCTTCTCCTAGTCTACACAAGAAATAGTGTAATGACGTCATCAATATAGTGAACAACGCCGCACTATCAAATAGAGAAATAATTCTACTATACAGTTACATAGATAACTGCGACACTATCCAGTGAACGCTTTGTCTGCGAACAATTAGTCTGTGAACGAATTGTCAGTTAACGATTTGTCGTGTGAATGATTTGTCGTGAACCAACTGTCGGTGAACAAGTTGTCTGTGAACAAGTCTGTGAAAAAGTTGTCGGTGAGGATATGTCACGTGAACGAATATTCGCGTGAACGAATTGTCGGGTGAACGAATAGTCGGGTGAACGAAATGTCTGGTGAACGAATAGTCGCCTGAACGAAAAGTCGTGAACGATAATGTCGGTGAACGAAATGTCAGTGAACGAATTGTCGTGGAACCAATAATATCCTGGTTAAAAATGACATTTTCTTAACCAAGAACCCAACATTCAGAAGCCAAGCGCTTAACCACTCATCCACCGCGTCCTGCCTAAGAAACAGACGACCTTAAACTGAAACAGCGCTTCTCAGACTGTAGGCTCGTGAGCTGATGGGAAAGAGGAGGGGGATGAAAGGTAATCGGTACAAGTTTGAGAGACGATAGACACTGGACTATCACTTTGTTGCTTCTTTATATATTCTCTCTTACATAAAATAGTCATTAGGTCTAATCTAATACGATGTTTACAATATGTACTTATAAGGACTACGTGCACGGGCAAGATCAATTATTATAAGGCTTGTCTTATAGTCAGAAGATCAGTGAGGAATACAGTATTTTCCGTGGTTGTGGCCCCAACTGTGACCTACATATTTTGCCGCATCCAGTTCAAAGCATAACAATTGCCCCCAGGTGGTCGATTTAGATTTTCTTTTCGTCGTCTGCGTTTGTCCTCGGCAGCAGATTTTCTTTTGGTCTCAAGTGTGTATGCCGCGGTCTTCGTGAGTGACATCCAGCTGTCTGTTCCGACGCCGCATGCAGTCAGGTGCTCTCTTCTATGTCAGCCAAGGAAAGTTGACGCCTAAGCTGGTCTTTGAAGCTTTTCCGTGGGGCGCCTCTGTTACGTCGACCACCTTTTAGCTCACCAAAAAAAAACTGCCTTTGGCAATTATTAAACCATTACTAATAAACATTCTCTTGAACAATGGGTGATGCATTTTGTTTTTTGACTACACCAGGATGTCACATGTAGTGATAAAAAAAACGGAAGCAAAATATTTTGATTCCAAATTTTATTTTTAAGTCAATGTTTAGCATTAGTGTACATAGATCATTCGATATTCATTAATACATTTTAAAACAATACTTATTTCAAAGTTTAGATCAAGAGTTAGTTATGTTTAAAAAAAAACAAAGTTTAATAATATCTTTATTAATAAGTGATTATTTTTTGTCCTATAAATATCTTCATTGGATTTATAATTATTCTAAAATAAAAACAACAACTTTATAAGTAATATAAATAGAAATATGAATGCCTGAATCAGACATAGGGAAAAATTATAGATCTGAGGTTATTATAAAAAAAAAGTATATTTATTTGTAATTTTTAATACAAAAATTATAAAAGTTTAAAAAAGCAAATAATTTAATTGAAAGTCAGTATAGGTTAAAAATATACAAGCCAATAAGATCTTTAAGTATATAAATAATAAATTGGACTTTAAGCGTTTGCACACACAAAGATCCTTACAACGTTTGTTGAGACACTCTTTCGCTCATTTTTAGCCACAACACTTCTCAGGACAACACGTGTCTTCACAGTGTTTAGCACACTTTAGGCCAGCATCGCACTTCTCAGGACAACATGAGTCTTCACAATGTTTAGCACACTTTAGGCCAGCATCGCACTTCTCAGTGCAACACGTGTCTTCACAGTGTTTAGCACACTTTAGGCCAGCATCGCACTTCTCAGGACAACATGAGTCTTCACAATGTTTAGCACACTTTAGGCCAGCATCGCACTTCTCAGTGCAACATGAGTCTTCACAATGTTTAGCACAAATTAGGCCAGCATCGCACTTCTCAGAACAACATGAGTCTTCACAGTGTTTAGAACACTTTGGACCATCGCACTTCTCAGGACAACACGTGTCTTCACAGTGTTTAGCACACTTTAGGCCAGCATCGCACTTCTCAGGGCAACATGAGTCTTCACAATGTTTAGCACACTTTGGACCATCGCACTTCTCAGGACAACACGTGTCTTCACAGTGTTTAGCATACTTTAGGACAGCATCGCATTTCTCAGGGCAACATGAGTCTTCACAATGTTTAGCACACTTTAGGCCAGCATCGCACTTCTCAGAACAACATGAGTCTTCACAGTGTTTAGCACACTTTAGGCCAGCATCGCACTTCTCAGGACAACACGAGTCTTCACAGTGTTTAGCACACTTTAGGCCAGCATCGCACTTCTCAGGGCAACATGAGTCTTCACAATGTTTAGCACACTTTGGACCATCGCACTTCTCAGGACAACACGTGTCTTCACAGTGTTTAGCACACTTTAGGCCAGCATCGCACTTCTCAGGGCAACATGAGTCTTCACAATGTTTAGCACACTTTGGACCATCGCACTTCTCAGGACAACACGTGTCTTCACAATGTTTAGCACACTTTAGGCCAGCATCGCACTTCTCAGGACAACATGAGTCTTCACAATGTTTAGCACACTTTAGGCCAGCATCGCACTTCTCAGAACAACATGAGTCTTCACAGTGTTTAGCACACTTTAGGCCAGCATCGCACTTCTCAGGACAACACGAGTCTTCACAGTGTTTAGCACACTTTAGGCCAGCATCGCACTTCTCAGGGCAACATGAGTCTTCACAATGTTTAGCACACTTTGGACCATCGCACTTCTCAGGACAACACGTGTCTTCACAGTGTTTAGCATACTTTAGGACAGCATCGCATTTCTCAGGGCAACACGTGTCTTCACAGTGTTTAGCACACTTTAGGCCAGCATCGCACTTCTCAATACAATACGAGTCTTCACAGTGTTTAGCGCACTTGAGGCCAGCATCGCACTTATCAGGGCAACATGAGTCTTTACAATGTTTAGCACACTTTGGACCATCGCACTTCTCAGGACAACACGTGTTTTCACAGTGTTTAGCACACTTTAGGCCAGCATCGCACTTCTCAGGGCAACATGAGTCTTCACAATGTTTAGCACACTTTGGACCATCGCACTTCTCAGGACAACACGTGTCTTCACAGTGTTTAGCATACTTTAGGACAGCATCGCACTTCTCAGGGCAACATGAGTCTTCACAATGTTTAGCACACTTTGGACCATCGCACTTCTCAGGACAACACGTGTCTTCACAGTGTTTAGCACACTTTAGGACAGCATCGCATTTCTCAGGCCAACACGTGTCTTCACAGTGTTTAGCACACTTTAGGCCAGCATCGCACTTCTCAGGGCAACACGTGTCTTCACAGTGTTTAGCACACTTTAGGCCAGCATCACACTTCTCAGGGCAACACGTGTCTTCACAGTGTTTAGCACACTTTAGGCCAGCATCGTACTTCTCAGGACAACATGAGTCTTCACAGTGTTTAGCACACTTTAGGACAGCATCGCACGTCTCAGGACAACACGAGTCTTCACAGTGTTTAGCACACTTTAGGCCAGCATCGCACTTCTCAGTGCAACACGTGTCTTCACAGTGTTTAGCACACTTTAGGCCAGCATCGCACTTCTCAGGACAACATGAGTCTTCACAATGTTTAGCACACTTTAGGCCAGCATCGCACTTCTCAGTGCAACATGAGTCTTCACAATGTTTAGCACAAATTAGGCCATCGCATTTCTTAGAACAACATGAGTCTTCACAGTGTTTAGAACACTTTGGACCATCGCACTTCTCAGGACAACACGTGTCTTCACAGTGTTTAGCACACTTTAGGCCAGCATCGCACTTCTCAGGGCAACATGAGTCTTCACAATGTTTAGCACACTTTGGACCATCGCACTTCTCAGGACAACACGTGTCTTCACAGTGTTTAGCATACTTTAGGACAGCATCGCATTTCTCAGGGCAACATGAGTCTTCACAATGTTTAGCACACTTTAGGCCAGCATCGCACTTCTCAGAACAACATGAGTCTTCACAGTGTTTAGCACACTTTAGGCCAGCATCGCACTTCTCAGGACAACACGAGTCTTCACAGTGTTTAGCACACTTTAGGCCAGCATCGCACTTCTCAGGACAACACGAGTCTTCACAGTGTTTAGCACACTTTAGGCCAGCATCGCACTTCTCAGGGCAACATGAGTCTTCACAATGTTTAGCACACTTTGGACCATCGCACTTCTCAGGACAACATGAGTCTTTACAATGTTTAGCACACTTTAGGCCAGCATCGCACTTCTCAGGGCAACATGAGTCTTCACAATGTTTAGCACACTTTGGACCATCGCACTTCTCAGGACAACACGTGTCTTCACAATGTTTAGCACAATTTGGGCCATCGCATTTCTTAGAACAACATTTGCTGACATCAGTAAATATGGTAGAAAGCTGCTGCTCAGTTGAGGTTCCAGCCAATGGATTGTAACTTCCTTGTACTTCCTGAAATTTAACATTTTTAAAACGATTATTTTGTGATTAATAGAATTAAAAAAACAACTTCAATAGCTAAAATTACTTATTGTATATCATAGATCACGTAACTGAGCATGCAATAAGCATCATAGTAGCGCTATATAAAAGCAATAATTTAATTTTTTAATTTAATACCATTCATCTTTGTAAAATTGCATTTTTAAACCCACCGTTCGCTTTCCTTCAATTGATGTGAAGGTCATTTCTGCACGTACTTCCTGTCCTGTCTTCTCCTCAAACCAGGAGCAGTGCCTGAAGGGAGGTCTGAAAAAAACCCATAAAGGCGTAGACTACATGATCCAAGTAAAAGGGTTGCATCATTTAGTGTACTGTACGATTGCTTTATACTATTTAGAGACTGGCATAAACTATACCAACTTAGACATTTCAACTGCAGTCTTAAAATATTGCTCTTTGGGTAAATAAAAGTAAATACAAAAACACGCCATTGACATTATGTTTTCATCAGTTTCAATTACCATTTATTCTCTGCTATAATCTTAAAGGAGTAACTAGATTACAAACGAACTATCATTATTATTTTATCATTAGACGTATGTAACTTAGAGACGCACTATAGTTGACGGACTTTGAACGCGACATTTAGTGACGGAGAGCAGGCATCTGTTTGTTTATATACGCTGTTATTTAGTTGGCATTAGGACTTCGAGGCCACATTATCAATTAGTGACAGAGACTTGACTGTGGCCCGTTCTATATGAAACTTAATTTAAATTTGTTCAAAAGATCCTAGCAATGGAATTGAGATGCTACAGAAAGAACATAGCAATGGAATTGAGATGCTACAAAAAGATCCTAGCAATGGAATTGAGATGCTACAGAAAGAACATAGCAATGGAATTGAGATGCTACAGAAAGATTCTAGCAATGGAATTGAGATGCTACAGAAAGAACCTAGCAATGGAATTGAGATGCTACAGAAAGAACCTAGCAATGGAATTGAGATGCTACAGAAACATCCTAGCAATGAAATTGAGATGCTACAGAAAGATCATAGCAATGGAATTGAGATGCTACAAAAAGAACCAAGATTTCACCTACGAAGATCACACCACGAACGAACAGATTAGAGACAGAATTATCACAGGATTATTACAGTGATTGAACCCCACGATGACCTGCTAACTACTGTCGAAAAACGCGAAGTAAAACTCTTCCTTGAAGGAACTGTACCAGGAAAAGAAAAAGGAGAGAAAGACGGTGAAAGCGATGGGAAGGTTGAACTGGCCTGCCATTGAAAGAGGTTCTATCCAAGGTAAAAGAGAGGAATGGAGAAAGACTGTCGACACATCTTGTATGGTGCCCCAACGGTCTAACAGATTATATATAGCTCCTCCTTCGTGGTCGAGGATGAGCACATTTCTAATATCCTATGAAGTCGAAGATGGCTTTAAAGTCCGATCCTCGCTTTGAAAAGCCGGCTGCATACGTGGCATGGGAGGCTTAGGTCAGTTGCAGATAGACCTGCTTCTTCTCTCAGCTTTTTGTTGGCTTGGCGCTCTTTCACGCTGACTACGCTTCTTGCTACATATGTCCAACAGACTAAAGGATAGGTGAAGGTGGTGAACATGGTGACAGATACAACCCCCCCCCCCTCACTCCCCAGTTGAGCATAGAGGAGATGGGACCAGAATTCACAGAACATTAAACACTGATACACGCGCTATCCATAACGTACCAGATGTACTTACAAGTAAATGTGAAGTGAGATGGTCATTTCGTTTTTGTTGTTATTGGTAACACGGTGCAAACCTTTATCATCTTGAATAAAAAAGAAATATTTAAAAATTAGTGTCTGAAATCACTTTTACAAATCCAATCGTTCAATCCAATTTCGCACACAAGCACATGCTCGATAACAACACACGAAGCAAGCAAAAAATCATAATTAAAAAATTATTTTCTTTTATATGGTAAATTTACTAAGATAAGGGGAGTCCACCCATTTCTTATGGGTACTGACTTAAGTTGGGAAAGTAAAAGCGATTTCTAGTTGTGCTGGCCACATGACACGCTGCTTATTAACCGTTGACCAAAGAAACAGGTGATCTCAAGGTCTGATTTTTGAAATTGATTTGATTTTAGCATAGCAAAACTGTTTTTTTTTTTTATTACTTCTTA